GGATGAGTGGTTCTAGAACATTTGTCTATGTGGAAGAATATAACCCCTCTTTGAGCCACATCATTTTTGTCATTTTTATTTTTCTACTCATTTTCAACTACACATTCTTCAATAAAATAATATTTTCCATCACATCACTAACTTTTTTTTTTCAACCACATATTCCCTATCATATCAATAAAAAAAAATGCATTCTTGGAACAAAAATGTGTACCAAACAGGGGTATAATGTGTCCAATTGAAAATAGCAAGTTACGCCATTTGTGTTACATTATGTAATGTTGTACATACTAATATTACTATTTTTTTTAATCTCCAAAAATTCAATTACTATTTCATTTTTAACTAAATATAATTTTTTTTTCTCATTTATCGTTCCCTCCATGAATTAACATTCAATTGAGTCTTCTATGGCATTATATACATAACTTTTTTTTTTCCTTTTCATTTTAACACTTGTTGATATCCGACCTCACCAAGGCAAGCCCTGACCTGGGGGATAACTGTTGATATCCGACCTCACCAGGAGAGCTCCGACCTAGGGGTAATTCGACCGCGACCTCATTAAATACAGTTGATTATATGCATTAAGCTCATACTAATATGAGTTAGGATATGTGAGGTAAGCTCGATTTATGTAGTTTATCGAGGTTCAAGGAGACATAATGATTGAAGATTTCTTACACACTGTCAAACGTCCAATCAATCAATTACATTTGGATAGGCTCATAACAACACTTCCTAATTCCACCAATCATATACCTTAACTTCCTTCCCTAAGTAATTCATTAATTTTTGGGGACCACATGTAAGATAAACTCATAATGATCTGACAAGTCGAAATCATTAAACCATCCAAACATGTTAATGGTGTACTTTCTCAACTCAGTATTGTAACCGATAAGAAAAAGAAATGAAGAATGCATGCTATATAAAAGGGAGGATATGAGTCTTGAAAAGGAAGATGATTTGAAACACATGATATTTCAAATATCTCATTTGACAAAAATAAAGGAAAATAATTGTAGTTTACTCTTCTAATTTACAAGTCATTATCAGTAAAAATCCTCATTCACATTCTAAGTTAGCTTGAATTTTGTGCATATAATTTTCGACGTCAACAACACTAAATTCTATATTTTTATCAATTATATTTATAGACCTTTCTTTTCTATGAAGCTCTCCCGGGGAGAATTAAAAAATTCATCTTCTTTATAAACCAATAAAATTGTGCATTAATCGTTCACTTGAAAAATATAACTCGACCTCATTAGAGAATAGATTTTTTAAGTTTATTTGGATTACACAAATAGCTCACAAGTATTATTTAGCTGATTGAGAATATAAGACACATTAAGGTCACTTATTTTAAAACTATTTTTTCTACATACTCATTTTCAACAAAAAATTCACACAATAAAATATTCAACAAGTAAATTTAAAATTTTTTCATATCTTTTAACCACATTTTCTTCAGAAATTCACTATTCAAATAATCAAAATATTGAAAATCCTTGATCATCAAACAGAGGCTAGAGGAGTTGAACAAATAACGAGTTACTTATTTGTCCTTTGGAGTGGATCGAAAATGGCTCTTTCTATGAGAAACAATATAATCCAACCACTATTGCATAACACATTTTAAAGTATTGTTATTCAAAAAAATTTAAAGTAGAATGACAACTAGAAAATCACGTTGAAAACATAGAGACTTTAAAACTTTCAATCATTTAGGGGCCATTCTCTTCGTGTTTCAATTTTGTGTTTTGAATTTTCAATTTGTTTTGTGTTTTTAGTGTCTGTTTTAAGATTTCTGAAAATTTGTTCTTTTTGTTATTTTGAAAAATTGTTTTTGAAAACAGAAAACGTGAAAACGCGTTTACTTTGAAATTTTTTTAATGATAATTTTTCTTTCTTTTCTTCTTTCTCAACTCTACTGTCTCTATTTTAAAGTCAATATTTTCATGCCAAAAAAATTTAACGACAACATTGTCTTTTTGCAGGGCTAACTGAAATTTTCGATTACGGACAAATCACACCTATTAATGAAAGTTTTTGTTTGAGGGTAAGAATGCGAAGAAAAAATGGTTGGGGAAAAAGATGCAACTGAGGTCAAACATTGAGGACAAAATGTGTAACTCACCCAAGAAAATCAGTTAACCTTCGACTAAAATGTCGAATTCGAAAAAAAAAAATGCAATCAGGTTAAACTTCTGCAACTGCATTATTCAGGTGTTCACAGACTTCTATGCATCAAGCTCATCATGAGAACTCAAATGCTAATGCAAATCCCCAGCAAGAATTTAATCCAATAATTGTTTCAAGTACACATTTCAATTATAAGAACTCATTTATATACATGTAGTAAAGATGCAAACTTTCTGTGCAAAAAATAGAGGTGTCAATCTCAACTTTACATGTGCTTATAATTGCTGAGGATTTTCATTTTTTTTTACAGCCACAAAATACCAAAAATGGAACCACCTCACATAATCATAAAAGTTCTTAAAGATTGCTGTACAGAATCAGAATGCCACTTGTCTGAAACGCCACCACCCCTAGTGAGTGAGGAAGAGAAGTTGAGGTAATGAAGTTACAGTACAACGGCTACATTAAGAGGCAAAGTCTTAATTAATACATCAATGTGCACTATTCTCTTTTAAGAAGTTACCATAAATTCATTTGCTCATTTCTCAAGTACAAAACCAATCAAAGCTCCAAAATACTTCTAAATTAAGCAAATCTATAAGATAATATGAATGACAAAGTGTTAAGCATAACATTCACGCACATGTGAAGGGAATGTGACCATGCAGCAGATTGGAGTTAGGAATGGATGCCAGTAAACAACTCTCACCTATACCTAAAAACAATAAAAAAATAGGAAACAATGCCAAATCGCATGCGATCACTACTGGTTCAACTCAACCGACTTGAACAATTCTCTAAATGGAGGCTTCAATTACGTTAAATCCAACAAACAGACAATCCAGTACTACAAATTCTGGTACAAATTGAAAGACAAAGCTTTTAGAGAAAACCGTGGACTAAATATTCTTATGAACAGCACTTAAACTTGAATAAAACATAAGACACCTGAATGATGATTCATTGACCCAATGCTACTAGCACTCTGCTGTCTAAACTCATCAAACTTGGTAGTTAGTAAGGTAGCAAGAAGTTGAAATAAACGCTGCAAAATCTAGCAAATTGTAATCAATAGCAGTTCAAACATTTAAACAAACATCAAGAAACCTTCAAAGGGATTGGACTGAGAGACTCCCTCATTTGAATTCCAACCAAAAACCCATATCTCCAAAGGGAAGAAAACAGACGCAGTTGCCCTAATTAGATAATTATCCAATCGAATTGATTAAGTAGCTATGTGAAACACATAGAAGCCAATACAGCAAGACATCGGTTTTCACGTAGAGAAACCAAGAGAAATACACGAAACGAACCACAGAGGAAGAGACGAAATTAAACGTCAAACTTCACAATTACTTTGTCAATTCAAGATCAATTGAACTTAAATGGTGCAAAATTAACAACTAACCTGGTAATGAAGGAGCCCAGTAGACGAATTCACAAAAAGCAGTCAACTGGTTCCACAATTTTCACTCGATTCTATACGACAAATTGCAAGATTCCAATGGTGAAACTAGATGCATCTGGTTGAGAGGAGTTAACTGGTGGTGCTTCGACGGTGAAACGGTGGTCGACGGCGGTGGTAATATGGAAAAATCGTCAATAATCACACGATTTTTTTCATAAATTGGGGGCGGTTTTTGCAACTAAGTGGCATGGACGAGTATACAGAGTAGAAGAGAGAGTTTATGGGGTTCGAACGGGAGTGGATTGAAAGAGGTTCGTGCGACTACTGCTTGTAGTTTGTTGAGGAAGAAGAAGAGGCTTTTCTCTCACGGGTAGGTTTTAGAACTTCAACTTGTTTCCCGTGTTTTCAACAGAAAATGCCGACTTTTTCACCCTTTTCTGTTTTCTTCAGTATTTTTTTTGGTGTTTTCGAAAATACGTTTTAGAAAACGGGAAAGAGAACACGTTTTCACTATTTTGAAAATTGAAAACGGTAAAGAGAACAAGATCTTATTTGTTTGGAATCAATGCAAGATGGAATTAATGAATTAATATTAAAAAATTAAAAGTTTAAAAAATTTGAATGTTTTGTGGGGTCAGCTGACCCCACACAATACCACCTAAATCCACTCATGCCAATTTGAGCCAAATTTTAAATTTTTTTTTTCAATCACACTATTTTTTTAATAAAATAATTTTACAAGTAAATTCAAATTTTCCCCTACTTCTACAAGTATTTTGAGAAAAGGAAATATAGGCCGAAGAATGAATGCTTTCTTAGTTGGAGAGCACTCTTCGAGATAAGGTGGAAGAAGAAAGGAGATTCTCAAACAAGGAAAATGGTCCAACGAATTCGAAAGAATTGAATGAGGAACCGTATGAATTGACTTGACTTTAGCCTACTTCAAGCAATACAAGCATAACATTGATAAGGCTCTACATCGCATTGATCTCCATTCTAAAATACTTTTCTTAAAAAAAATTCACTTGTTACAAAATTTATTCTAAAAATGGGACTCAGACAAATGCTAAATTTGATCCACCTTAACTAGTTTCTTCCATCCATAACACACAAAAATTATAGTTGATCGATATATTCGTCATTGTCATTATTGTTAAAATTTAATTTTAAGTAATGTTATTTAAAGGTACTTGGTTCTTTTATCATCTTTCTCTAAAAAATTATACAAATAACTAGAAAATAATCTTCAACTTTTCAGAAACTATGGAATAGTACCACAATACAATTAACATGTCCACCTAAAAACCTGAAAAGAAAAAAATTGAAACAGAAACAACATTAAACCCTAAAGTCACCGGCCCCCCACTACAAATTACCAATTTCTGTAACTACATTACTGTAGAAACCCCAACCCTTGAATTCCTGTAAAGTACTTCCTGAAAAAATGGATCTTTGCACAGTAAAAACCATATTCAATCCTCTCGTATCAAAACCTAGACTCTTCACTCCAAAGCATACTCAGTCCACTCTCCAATTGAAATCCCTTTACCCTCTTTCTCTCAAGCAAATCTCGATTTGTCTCTCCAACCCAGGTATTTTTTTTTCCTTCTTTTTTAGGAGGGCTTCTGGTTTTTGATCTGTTTACTTTTTCTTTGTCATTTTCCATAGAGATTGTAGTATTTGATTGTCACTGTGCGTATATTTTTGAGAAAATTGCTTCGTCCTTCCCGAACTTATTGCCCTATTAGCAACTTGGTCCCCGGCATTTTATAATAATAGTTGCACGATTAATAGAAAATGTCCCATTTTTTGTTAAATCGCGACCTCTTATGTTTAATTTTATGAAGCTAGATTTTGCTTTCCAACTTAGATCGAACTAAGGCATGTATTCATGATGATCACGTGACAATTCAGAGGAAAATCCATCACTAGAGGCTTTTTTTTTTGTAGTTGGGGACCAATTTGCTACTTAAAGAATAGATTGGGAACCGGTGGTGCAATTTTTCCTATATATTTTCTGCTATGTCAATGATTCTAATTTTTCTAAATGATGCTTTTTATTGGGAAATTATAATTTCAGAATAAGATGCAATTAATAATAGCATAATGTACAGTATCTCATATGCTGTAATTGCTCTGGTTATATTCCTTTTACTCTCTGTTTAGCTGGTTATGCGACTATTTTCTTAGAAAAAAGTTGGATTTCGTTGGAGTATATTATGCCTTCTAATGATTCCAGATAGCCTTTCTTAAGTCTTTGGTGGCAGCCAATTTTCGAATCTTGATAGGGAAACATAATCCGTGCTAGAAAATGATGGAGGAAAAATAGAAAAGAAAGAACACAGAGAATCGATGGAAAGTGGAAAGTTCACTATCTTCGGTTTGTGTTTTCTTATCAGGGGTGAGATACTCTAAAAATTCATCCGTAAGGTCAACCACTTCCGAAGAAACTTCAAGTCAGACAACCCCAAATGATAAAGATGAAACTGATTTTCAGTCTAATGAAGCTCCACAAGAAGATTCTTTGATGTATAATCCAATGCAACTGTTTCAGTTTTTAGAGAAACTCAATTTAGAGGTTTGTTTGTAGTCCTTATTTTTATTGCATTTTAGAAAGTACTTCTACCATTCTAATATACCTTTGAAAATGGTTTTCTCATTTGTGATAGCAGGATTCTTTTATGAGTTCTCGAAGTAATTACGACATATTATTCGTCTGTGGTGTTGTAAATTGATTTCTTAAAAAATTTCGACGTATTGGCTGCTCAAGATGTATAGTATAATTACTGGTTGGTTATTCTAGATATTCTTTTTGTAATTTTTTGTATTCCATGTAAGTCATGAAGGAAAAAGAATATGATAAAGACAATGCCAAATAGAGCTATTAAACCAGTGCTGTTTGTTGTGCATATTTGAACTTCAACTATTCCACTACTTGTTAGTTATATTAGTAGAACTACAGTTCTTAGTATTGGCAAACTACGGTGGAGGACAAAATTACAATGGAATAAAACTTAGTTATCCATACATGAATTTAATGCTTATTACGACTTTCTCATTCTTTATAACATTTTTCCTTTGTTGATACTCAATTTGTTATGTTTGTGGATTTCCTATGTATTTCTTTGGGTGTAACTATAATCTGTATTAAGATTTTATCTTTCTCTCTGTTTCAATTTTTTTTTATTTTTGTATTGTTTAATGTAGACTTAATTGTTGAGAATCAGCGTACGAAATCAGAAAATTACAGAATCAATAGGAAAAAATTAAGATACAAAACTGTTGAATTTCCTATTTTCTAGGGATTCCTTGAGACTTGCCAACAATATACATGTAATTCTTAATCTAATTAACTCCGTAATATTTATGCGACTCTCTCTGTATTTATGACTGATAGATTTTATTATAAATCGAAATTCTTAGCAGAAGTTAATTGTTGTGTTATATTTATTTATTTTATTCATACAACGAGTTTGTTTCTGAAAATTCTGTTTATAATTAGCCACGGGAAGTCATAAAATATTGATTTGGAAACCAGTAGTTGCTTCTGATATTAATTGTCTTAATCCAAAGAACTAGACCACACACTATTGTTATTGATAGAAGGCAAATCATATAGAAATGATTTTTTTTTTTTTTTTTATAACCGTAGATGTCCGGGCCAATTTGCGCGCACCTCGACTAATTCCATGGGCCCTGAAGTTTACGGCCGGTACTCACCTCAGTGGCCCTGAGGGGACTCGAACCGGTGATTATTGGGGAACAAACTCGAAGCGTGACCAATTGAGCAACCTCTCAAGGTTGAAATCATATAGAAATGATTATCATATCATATCCATTTCTTAGTCGAAATGGTCAAGTAGTAGTTTTTTTGCAACCTGCAAAAAAAGGGAGTGCAGAATTTCTCCGGGGTACTCTGATGCTTAAGTGAATAAATGACTATAGGATTTATATAGTTATCAACGGTGCCATGTTGGAGTCTTGTTTGGAGAGTGTTATTTGAATTATAAAAATCCATGAACGAAGATAAAAATAGATTTTATCCTTTTAGCAATAGAGATTATGTTGCTCATAGAGCTTATCCACTGAGTTGTCTTAGTTTTACTAAGATGGAAAATCTAATATTTTGCAATACTGTCCGAAATTTTA